TTTAATTTTACATTAATAATAGATCATCACTAATATTTTTCAATAATAGCATGGGTTATATAATAATCATGACATAATATATCAACATTATTTTTAGCTAAACCATTACAACACCATATATTTTTTCTTCATTAAAGATATAGTTTCTTTTCCATGAAAAAAATTCCAAGATCTAGATGTATAAATACATCAGTCACTAATCTAGTCACCACATGAAAGTCTAAACATAATCAAAGAATAAGTTTTAGAAAGAAAAGCTAGCTAAAGGTCATGCAAGCCAGCCAAAAATCATGTTAGCGAGGTCAAAACCATTGGAAGCCAAGCCAAGCAAGTTTATATAATTTCTAAGATAGATATCTACTTCCTAGCCCTTATTTTAATTTTTCTCTTTCTATATATTTTTTTTCTATATGTAATTATTAATTTAAGTATAAAAAATTTCTTTGTTTTTTAGATGATTTATTTTGTGTGGTTTAATGCTTTACTTGTCATTTTATATTTCCTCCATTATTATTTTTTTTGTTTTAAACTTTGGAATAAACTAATATTTAAGAAAAAAAATTTAAAATTTTTTTGAATTCAAAGGGATATGTGATGCAATCCAATCCACACTAAAAAATTCATTAGTAGTTTTTACAGGCCTAATCGCAAAGGCTAGGGCAAATAAGTTCACGAAAGTTTTTAATGAGCTTTTGCAAGACATATGATTAAGGTGAACTACACAAGAGCAATAACACAAGAAGAACAAGCCTTAATAAATTTGATTTATATTCGAGACGAGCTTGAGGACCATGTGTTTCGGCAAAGGAGTAATTTCAGCATTATTAGGCTTATTTCATCAAGTATTTTGTGTTTTCTAATCCAACAAAAAAATCATGAATTACTTGGGGAAAAAAAATCTAATCTATCAAGGAGTCTAATCATCAAGAAGAACAAGCCTCAATAAATTTGATTTATATTCCAGACGAGCTTGAGGACCATGAGTTTCGACAAAGAGAGTAATTTCAGCATTATTAGACTTGTTTCATCAAGTATTTTGTGTTTTCTAATCCAACAAGAAAATCATGAATTACTTGGGGAAAAAAATCTAATCTATCAAGGAGTCTAATCATCAAGAAGAATCTTATTTTACCATAGACACTAAAGGTGGCAACAAACTAGGATTATTGGGAAAAGAAAATCTCTTAATCTATTTCTCAAAGAGAAGTGGCAGCATGGAGGGATTCTACATCCAAACAATTATTTCCCTTCTATTTTTTTAGGTATTAGTTGCGGCATCATAAGATAAAAATCTCAGAATATTTAATTATTTTCAAGGTAATTAGTTAGTTTTTGAGTTATTTTAGGTGTAGTTTCAAATTTGGCCAAGTAAACCTATTAAGTTATCTTAAAGGTTTATTTTCAATTATATAAATACTCTTTTGTAAGATTTAATTTTTATATTAGAATACACATTAATTATTGCATATTGAAGCATAGAGAATAAAGATTCTCATGCTTGGTTCTTCATTGAACTACATCTTTTAAAGAAATCAGCAATTTTTGTTGTGATTTTATATCTTTTATCTTTATTTTTAGATGAGTATGTTGTATGAGTGTAATTATTATAATCTTGATGTTTTGTGACAAATCATTTATTATATCGAGTTCAATTATCAATCTCAAGTTTTAATTAGATAAATATTAAATTTGTGATTTCAATTAAAAATCCCGCTAAGGTTCGCTTGAATATGTATTTCAAAATTGCTAGAAAAGATGATTTTTTTATATATATATAAAAATTTATGCAAGTTGATATATACAAAGATACTTCTTACCAAGAAAATATCTTTATGACTTTTTCCATACATATGTTCGTGTAAATCAGTACTGACTTGAAAAGGTTAGCATTTTGCGTGAAATATTGAGTTTTATTCCTCTGCGTACAACTTCCCAGCTTTAAACGAGGGAAAGAGGGTAATTCAATGTGTAAGCACTGACGCGGCCTCAATCTCAAAGTCAATCGGAACAATAGAACCTTTATACGGTGGCAACGCCATTGACCTGAATTTTTCGGTGGGGGCATCTGCCTATTACTAGTGGCTCGGTATTGCCTTGGGAATCATGTGCTTTCAAAATTAAAGCATTTAAAAAGAAAAAAGGCCAAGAGAGAAGCCATGCAATATTCAGGCTATCTTTTTCTCAAGATTTTGTGATTCCTTCCATTCATAATGATTTAAGGCATGTATGAAGGTCATCAAAACTACTAGGAAACGAAGAATAAATCACGTCAGAGGCCCATTTGCCTTCAAATCATGCTATTGCTTTCTTTGCAGCGGTCCAGAATTCGAAACCACTAAAAAGGGCATGAAAGCGAGTAATTAAGCGGACGAACGCTCGTTAACTTCAAAAATTATGCTAATGTTGTGTTAATCAAGTACATTTTTCATGCAAATCATATTGTGATTAACAATTGTCAATATCATCAAATTAATGATGCCAAATTTATTGAACGGACACTGCACACGTCCCAATATCAAGGGGAATTAATCAAGACAAGTTGACGAGGCATATCTTGACTGTCGCAGGGACTAGCTAGGGGGGCAAGTATCCAGTGAATGATCTGAAGGTCAAATGCAAGTTGCTTCTTGCCTGACTAATGTGCTAGATGATCGAAACCTTCGAGGGTTTTCTTTCCTTGCAGAAATTCTATCTCCATCGTTGTATCAGTGACATGTAGCAAATAATCATGCAAGGAGAATATATTCCATTATGGACAGGTTAAATTATGCACTTGATAGGTGGAAGAAAGATGCAGAAAGTAAATTTATAATGGATGGGGCGCATAAATAATTGACCAGAAATGATTTTTCCATTCACGATACGAATATGGTCGATTCTTTTATATGGGCTATAAAAGGAAACTGAAAACATTTGTTTTGAGCATACAACTAATGGAGTATAGCTAGCTAGAGGAGCGTAGCTCATATTAGAGGAAGAGAGGCCTAACATGTAGGTAAAGAGTCTTGTTTGGTAGCCAAGGATGACTTGCCTGCTCCAATATTCTAGGAGGTTTCAGAAAAAATGCAGACATGTATAATTTCGAAACCCCTGTTTCGTTTCAGGCAGTCTCCTTGGCTAACTTGACTGGCTCTTTCCTGTCATGCTATGCCCTTCTCTTCTTCACCAATAAGCCCTCGCTAGCTCATGCTATTTGGTGCCATTGGGCAATCAATTTGAGAGGAAGGAAGGCCTTACATGAAGACAAGGGTCTTGTTTGATAGCCAAGGATGACTTGCCCGCTACTTGCAAGAGTTTCTGCAGCAAAGAGAGAATGAAATATGCATGGAATTAAATGTAGAGAAACTCTTGTTTGATTGCCGGGCAGTCTCCTTGGCTAACCTGACAGCCTCTTCTCTCTCATGCTAGGCCTTCTCTTCTTCCACGCCAGGTCCTGCTTAATACTCGTGATTTCACGGACGGACTAACATTTTATGGTTGTTTATATACTATTTAACAAAGAATGCATATGATTATCTGGGCTTGCACGCCATGAAATGAATGAATTACTACTTCCTGCATGAGTATTGAGCTTACAAAAATGAAAAGAGATCGTTTCCTATCACTACATGTATATTTTTTTGTTTAATTACACTATTATTAATTATGTATTGAATATTTTTCAAAGGATTCCTTGTAATTATATCATACAATATCAGTAAACAGATAATGATCAACCACTCCTTAATGATGAGGTTCACTTTTCAATATCCTTTTGAGTAGGTCCATCACCTTGATTTCTTATCCTATCTGCACGAGATGTGATTGGTCACAGTACCCATGCTTGAATGATTAAAAAAAAAAAACCTACCACTCTTGAAACAAAATTCCTTCAAATGAATAAATGAATTAATTATAATTAGGATTATTTTTTTAAATATTTTTTATATTAAAATATATTTCAAAAATTATTTTTATTTTTTAAAAACTATTTTTAAAATGAGTATATCAAAATGATTCAAAATATATAAAAAATTTAATTTTTTTAAAGTATGAACTAACCCGTTTTTCTAAACAAACATGAAGTGTGATATAAAATAAAGTAAAGTAATATAAAAAAATGAATTAAAAATTTATACATAGTAACTATTTCCTTTGAGCAATGAGGATAATAAACTCAGTTCAGGACACTGACTCTACAGTTTAGGCTACCAATTGTTAAGAAAATGAAAGTTCAAGCTAGTTTAGGGGCTAGAGAAATGAAATTAAGATGGCAAGAGACCGATTTAAGCTCCTTTAGTACCTACATCTAGGGGTGTACAATTAGTTTGCTAATTGAATTGTGTGAATCAAATTATTTTAATTTCACAATTTATTGTTTTTAATTCTTTTCAATTTAAAATCTTTGATCTTCTAATTATTTTATAACAATAAAAATTTAAAAAATAAATTCAATATTTTTAGTTTATTTGGTTTTTGACTAAATCAAGACAAAAACCAAACTTGATTGATTTAATTAAACTTGGTTTAAATTTAATTAGATTTATATAAAGATCTTTTTAAATAAAATAGCATGATTTTAATATAAAAAAATTATAAAAATTGATTTATATGTTTTAACTAATGATTTAATGATAAAATCTTCTTATATCCAATTCAACTCATATTTATGACTAAGTTTATGTATAATTGATATTGTAATATAGTGTGTTTTTTAAAAGTATTTCTTGTTTAAAAATATATTAAATAATTATTTATGAGATATTTATTTTTAGTTTTAACATTAATATATTAAAATTATTAAAAAATAAAGAATATAAAAATTTAATTTTTTTAAATACAACATAATTTTATTTTAAAACGCAATAAAAAATAAAAACTAATGAGCTTACAAGTTTCTTTTTTTTAAAAAATAAAAGAACAAAACGCAGTATCACGATAAAATGACAGAAAAGAAAAGATAAGAAATATGGAAACGTTACCGTTTCGATGTCACAGCATTGGATTTAACAATTACGTACCGTATGGTCTGTCTTCCTCGGTTTTTTGATTTCCTCTTCCACGTATTTGTCAGAGACAACTCTAACCCCCTTCTACCACCGTACGACCACCACTACAACCACCACCACCACCACCACCACCAACCATCAATGGCGAATCAAATAACAACAAAACCGTTATTCATTCTCGTACTATCACTCCTATTGGTATCCTCATCAATCGCTAGCTCCGATGTTCCCTTCATCGTCGCTCACAAGAAAGCCACTCTCAGCAGCCTCAAATCCGGAGCTGAGCGCGTCTCCGTCTCCATTGATATTTACAATCAAGGATCCTCGTTAGTTCGAATATTTCTCTTCCATGATCAGATCTAAGTTTTGTAATTATTATTTTATATATTTATATTAGATCTCAAGAATCGGAGCTAAGTTCACTTGCTGATAATTTAGAAAATTAAATGCAATTAATAGATTTCATTGCATGTGATGCAGAGTTATAGGGGTTTGAGTTGGGAGATTTGGTGTTTGGTTCTCTTGATGAGAGCTACTTGCTTGTTGTTTGATTTAATTTTAATTTTTATTAGCAGCGTAATAGTTATGGATTTAAAAGATGTTTGTTCAGTTGTGAGAGCTGAGGAGCGGAAGTTTTGATCTGATTGTACTTAAGGAAGGAATGGGATTGATTTCCATTATAGGATGTGAAATCCGAAGCTTTTGGCCATTTGTAACATCAAATTTAGAAATTTAAAGGGAATTGTGCAATGGTCAGCTTCAAAAGTTGGATTGTTCTTTAATTGTGGAAGGTTTTGGGTTCAAATGATGATGGCTAGAGTGTTCTGCTGTTTAGGATGTTATCGAAGGTAAATTTTGTTAATTAATTTGAGATTTAATTGAGAAATAGTAGCGTGAAGTTTTAGATCATCGTGCTTCATCAAGATGGACATGCTTTATGCATCGAAGCAATGCTTGATTTTGAAAATGAGTTTAGGTTGGCAGTTGAAAGCTTGGAGCTTTGAGTTTTATGTGTGGGCTTGGCAAGGTTTTAATGACACAGGAAATTAAGGGTTAAATGTATTTTAAAGCTGCCTTTAATACAGTCCTCAAAAAATGCTTTGATGGTATCTGGTTTTCTTTTTAAATTTCCAGTGGAAAATGAGATGTTATTACTTTTATACTTGATATATGCAATGAGCTGATAGTGTCCTCATGTTTCAGTCTATTTCTGTTCTTTTTGGAAGATACTTTGTTCTCAAAAGGGCTTTCACATTCTTCTTTTCCTCACAAAATTTTATCCTTGTACAAATAAAGTGAAATGATCCCTTGACGCATCAAGGAACTAAGGTAAATTAGCATTAATAAAAAAAGTAGCTGTGTGGAAATGTCAAAAATTGTTTAATAGCTTGATGCATATAGAGGCCTGCAAGCAACTTTCTCATGTAGCTTGTGAGCTTTCGTAATTGGAGTAAAAATCCTTTCATGGAAAAAAAGAGAGAATGTTCTGGCCTCTGGAAACTTGCATGATGGGTTGAGTAACTGACTGATAGAGTTGGTGGCACTGTTCCTGCT